GAATTTGAAAACAAATTATATATTCCGGCTCGTGGGTGAATGGGAAATTTGATTTTGGTCCGAACCTCGTGTTTTGACCAAGCAGGCCCGGGGTTAATTTTTGAGTTTTTGGGAAATATGATGGAAAAGCTATAGTTAGGCATTGGGTTCGTGTTGTTTAGCATTTATTGATGTATTGAAATCATAATTGTATAGATACGGTTGTTTTGGAGACAAATTCGAGAGGAAAGACGGTTATTGAGGATTGACTTGGTCGTGGAAGTTTGAGGTAAGTGTTTGGTCTAACCCTAGCTTGAGGGACTAGGAGTTGAGTCTTATTTGCTAATTGCTTCTTGTTGAGTACGACGTATAGGCATGGTGACGAGTATCTATACGTTGGTGTCTAGCATGACCGTGAGTCTTTAAATTGTGAATAACTTGATTCGTTGCATTTCTCTTGCCTTGGTGATGATTCCTATTTGTTGTGAAAAGCTTGTGAAAGGAAATTGTGACCTGTGAACAACGAGGAGCATTGGCTCAAGTTACATTTCAATTGTGAACGTATATGAAATGGTTGAACCCTTTGGAGCATTGGCTCAAGTGGCAAAGTGAGATATGAAATAAAAGTGAAAGGAAGAGAAAGAGTATTTAAATTGTTCCCTTGCCGGGATATTGTTGTTTATTGATTATTTTCCCTTGCCGGGACGTTGAGATTATTGATGTTGTACCCTTGCCGGGATTTAATTATTTAATTGTGTTCCCTTGCCAGAATTTCTTTTATTATTTTGTTCATTCCCTTGCCCCCTTGTTTGTGATTGTTGTTTGGGTGAGGAAGAGTGTAAAGCACGAAGGGTGATGCCGTGCATTGTTTGTTTATTGTGAGGAAAGAGTGTAAAGCACGAAGGGTGATGTCGTGCATTGTTTGCTTATTGTGAGGAAAGAGAGTAAAGCACGAAGGGTGATGCCGTGCCGAACGATGTACCGTTCCGTGCCGATTCTATTGATTATATGTGAGGAAAGAGAGTAAAAGCACGAAGGGTGATGCCGTGCACACTTTATTATATCATTGCTTGGTGAGGATGAGAGTAAAAGCCCGAAGGGTGATGTCGTGCACTTGTTGCTTTCTGTTTCTTTATTAATGTCTGAGTTGTGTTGTTTCCTTCGTTACTGGACGACTTTTACTTGAAATTGTTATTTCCCCCATAGCATGCTCCCCCTCCCATATTAATTACTTGTCTCCGTATTTCGATTCCGCTGTATATGTATATATAACTGCATAGGTTTATGTGATAGTCCGGTCTAGCCTCGTCACTACTTCGCCGGGGTTAGGCTACGCACTTACCAGCACATGGGATCGGTTGTGCTGATGCTACACTCTGTGCTCTTTTGCAGAGATCCAGGTGTTGGAGCAGCTTACGGTGCGCAGCAGTAGTCAGGGAGCCGACCTTCAGTCCACGAGACTCCGAGGTAGCCTTGCTGGCGTCCGCAGGCCCGGCGTCTCTTCTTTCAGTTTTCATGTTCTGTTGACACTTGTATTCGAGACAGACTATGTCCTTTATTTCAAACTCTTATTTGTAGTAATCCTAGACAGTCGTGTATTGTTGTGACACCAGGTGCTGGGTAGAGACTTGTATTGGCTTTCTAGACGCTGTTTCTATATTTAGTTCAGACTTCCGCTAAATTTTATTTTTCGTTGTCTTTTAACTGCTTATTCCCTGATAATTTAGTTGTTTAATCATGTATAAAACGAAATAGGTTAATGTATGCAAAGGTTCTTGGCTTGCCTAGCTTCCACGAGTAGGCGCCATCACGACTCCTAAGGATGGGAATTTCGGGTCGTGACAAAATTAAAGCCCTAACCATAATTAAAGTATTTAATTCCTTCTTTATTCATTCCCAAATAATGACTTTTACAATCCCATAATTATAGCTACACATTATGTAACATTTCTTCTCTCTTTCTTGTAGTAGTTTTCTTTCCATGAGTTAATCATTTTTTTAATTCTACAAAATCTTCTTACATTCTCATTTTAAAAAAAAAAGATAGTAGAAGTAAATTCCAACATTTGACAATAAAAACTAAAGAACGGTACAAAGCCATTTTCAGGCTCAACTTGAGTTGCCATTTCTCTGTTATTTTGTATATTCAGAATAGTGAAAAAAAGATTCAATGTTTCAATATCTAGCAACCAATACAATCTCTATTTCTCATTTTCAATGAGAATACAAGAAGATTTTTTAGAAGTGAAAAGAAAAATTAATAACTCAAGAAAAGAAAATTGCTAAACAAAAAAAAAAAAAAAAAAAAAAAAAAAAAAGAAGAAGAAGAAGAAATGTTAGATAATCTTAGATACCACCACACAACAACTTGAATAAAGCAACACGTTATAGTTTATAAAGTAACATCTCAAAAAGCAAAGAATAAGAGCAGTAATAAGCAAAAATGGAGGAAAAAGAGTAGTAGAATTATAGGAAGCTCACCGTTAAAAGAGATAAAAGATATTATTTGGAATAATGGATAAAAGAAGAAATCAAATACTTTAATCGTGATTAGTGTTTTAATTTATTCAATTAAATCTCATCCATTAATTTTTAATCATGACAAATGTCTCAAATCCAAATAGGAACTTGGAGAAATGGAGAGACTAGAAAATGAAGCGGAGTAAGGAGTTGGATCCCAAAAATTCGATGTTGATCATAACACATGGTATATTTTATATTTGGGCAAATAGCAGTTTTGATCCTTGAGTTATTGCTTTATTCTGATTTTACTCCTATGTTATTTGTCTGAGCACATTAGACTTTTAATTAACCTAAATATGTGATTTTGCTCCCTTAAACTAACAGATGACAAATAGTTAACAGATTATATCCTGGAAGGTCCTTACAGATTGTACAACACGAATTGGGTTATTCTTTATATTCACGGTTATTCTTCTTTTAGGTTAATTTCACGGTTATTCTTCTTTTAGGTTTATTCGAGTTGTGTTGTCACAAACATAAAAGAAGAATAACCGTGAAATTTTTAGGTTTTACTTGTGCTGTGAAATTCTCGAATCTCAGGATTTCGAGCCCGTTTGATCAAGCTGCAAAAAACTGCTTATTTTGAAAAGTGCCTTTTGAAAAAGTACCTTTGCAAAATAGCAGTTTGTGTTTGGCAAATTATTCGAATAATGCTTTTTGCAAGCTCATTGTGTTTGACCAATCTTTTCACAAAGTACTTTTACGTATCAAATTACCAAAAAGGATAGTAAAGGTACAGTTTGCAATTAATATTATTTAAAAAAATTAAATATTTATTATTAAAAAGTTCAATTGAAATTTAAAATGTAAAGTAAAAATATAAATTAAAATTTTCAATCAATATAAAATACGTTATTCCAAAGCAATAACATTGAGTATTTGATATTACTTATTATTTATGATAATCTAAATATATCAAAATACATCATTCATAAATTTAAAATCTACTCTTAGGAATAGGAGAAAGAGAATAAAAGTATGATTAAAATAAATAAAGAGAAGAAAGGTATAGTAGAAATAAAAAGGAAAAGGAAAAGGAAAAGAAAAATATTAAATTAATAAGGGCTAATTTGGAGGCTATAAATTTATTGTAAGGTTATTTTTGTCTTGAACAATTAATTTTTTGCTTCTGCTTCTGCTAAGAAGCTAGAATCTGTAGCTTCTCCCCAAAAGCAGAAAAACTGCTTCTGTTGCTGCTCAAAAGTATATTTTCATCTTAGCCAAACATCTTAAATTTTTCAAGAAGTACTTTTTTTACAAAAAAAAAAAAAAAAAAATTAGCAAATACACATAGGGCGGAAAATATTTACCCGCCCCTACCCATTACCTTTTCCCCCTACCCATTTTTTTTAATACCCAACCAAATAAAGTTAATTCAAGCCAAAACAATTCAAGCCAAGACAATTCAAGCCAAAACCAAGCAAGTTAAACCAAATCAAGCTAAGCAAAGCCAACCCCATTCAAGCGAAGTCAAAGAAAGACAAAAATCAAGCTAAGGTAAGCCAAAATTGGTATAAGAAAAAAACGTTGAGATGGGTGGGTAGGTATGGGTAATATGGGTAATTAATTTTAATTGGTTACGTATATATTGTAAATAGTTTCAAATGGGTAGGACAGAGTAATTATTTTAACTCAATGGCTATTTTACATAAATTGTTCCAAAAAAAAAAAATACTTTTGACCTCCTAAATCCATACATTTATAATCAAACATTTAGTCGTAGAGTTTCTTAAAATATAACATTTACTGGTAATGTTTCATATAATGCTAATATATATAATTTTTTAATTCTTAAATATTTTCCTCGTGAATTCATTTTCCTCCAATTGAAGGAAAATATTTTCCCTACCAAAAGGAGAAAAAACATTATCCAAAACTCTTTTTCAACCTTTCCCACCCTATCTCTCCTCTTACCCCCCCCCCCCCCCCTCAACCCAGCCATCACCCCCAACCATGCCTCCCCCCCAGCCCTCACCCCCTATTGTTTGCCAAAATTATATATTTTTCCAAAAAAATTATTTTCTACACTAACCAAATACTACAGAATATTTTTCCGGAAAAATTTCACTCACCAACCAAATATGAAAAAACTAAGTGATCGAGAAAAATATTTTTCTTTCTTTACAAAGACACCGTTAGTCATTACTTAGATAAGGTCTATTTTATACCAGGGGTCTTTTCTGGTTTGATAAGATATCCGTACGTACTTCCAGACATAAGCATGAGGATTTAGAAAGAGGGAAACAAAAAAAAGGCAAATTTTAAGCAATCGAAACAACTGGTCCCCAGTAAAGCATGGAGTTGAACCCAACTAGTTTGTAATTGAAACGTAGTTGACTGATTAACTGATTTAGCTTCCAAAGATACAAAAACCAGTCAGTAACAACTGGACAACTGAGATTTGATATGAATGAATCCTGTGTACTCCAAAAGACCAACAAAAGCACGAGTTTTAATATTCACTCGCTATTATGATAGAGAAGATGAAGTAGCCAGAATTCCTCACAAAATTGTCAATCCGGGCTGTTAATCACGATATCTCAAATTAACGAACATCCAAAAATCACATAAACGTGAAACACTGGATAAAGAATAATAAAGTCTATTTTTCCGCCCAGTTCGTAAAGAGTACAAATAAATACAGCAAGGTCCAAGCTATTTGCCCATCATTAACAATGAATATTCTCAACAAGCAAAAATGAAAAAGGACTGGACTCTCAGCACAGTGAAAACGGAAGATGGATTGCCTTGCATGCTACTAAGCAAGTCCCACAAATTAAGGCACACACTTCTTCACCATCAATACTTACAGTGAAACGCTACAACAGAGATTCACCCCTCAAGAGTTGTTAACCCGTCACAACCAAACAATTTCAGCTGAGGAAAGAGGAACCTTTGAGACAGCAACTGCCTACCTGTAGCGACTTGATTCAGAGCATCATATTAAATTCATTCTCTGTTAGCGCCACAAAGCTACTAAAAGGTCCCAGGCCGATATTTCATTGGCACGAGAATGGTGGCAAAACACGGTCAGCAATATAAAACCCTGTAAGATTTTCAGCATCTATGAGCACCTACTATTTTAAAGAAACATAGTATAAAACTTGATGGTTCTAACTGGTTTGCAATTGATATATTGAAAACAGATGAAATGGAAAGTCCCTCGAGCACATACGGAAAGATCCCAAATCCAAAATTTAGAGAGAATGTTTACTTTTGAATCTTTATTTTTCATTGAATCTTTATTTTCTTGCAACTTTGAACAATGAGTCTGATTGCATCACGTCACTATAAGATAATTCAAATACAACAGAGAATTCATTTTTCGTGTAAACTTATTAGGGGATCAAGAACAAAACTCATTCTCTACCTTGCCTAACCCTCTATATCAAACTACCCTCCCAAAAAAATCTTTTCCCAAATCAAATAGCTACTTGGTTCCCCAATTCACCAATTGTTTCGCTCTCTTCCTAGCTTACAAGTTTAATTGCAATGAATGGAGCGAGTAAAGCAAACTTTTAACACCAAAACCAATTAAGGATAAAATAATTGGCACAGACCTAGGAAGAACCTCACATAACAGATTTATCGACTTAAAGCATACCAATCAGGAAGGGTCTGAGAAGGAGAGACAGATATTTATCCCTCTATCCCATGCCAAACTAGATAGAGCAACCTAAATTATATCTGCTTGCACTTGTCATTTAAGGCCCCAAGGCCCAAACACCTACCCAAAACTAACCCAGAGATTCCCTTGTAAAAGCACCTGCCCCATCAACTTTCATCTTTCCACGAAATGACATCACTTACCAAAAAGTCCTAGTCATCTCCGTCACTGCTTGTTTGAGATTCTTCATCTATGCCATACATAACTTCATCTACCTCATCATCCTCACTTTCATCCATCTGCCCCTCGAGTGTTAGTGCGGGGCTTTTCCTATTATCAGCCTTCTCAATCTGAAAAGTAAGAACAGAGAAGGGTTCGTATGAGAACATGTACTGGACTGCCAAATTTCTTTTACAATTGAAGTAACCAACCTGTGCCATTACGAGCTGCAAACGGCCAGATAACTGCAATAAAGAGCTCAGGGCTGCCACCTTTGACCTGGTAAGCTGAAGAAACACAAACGATGAAGTACTTAATACCTTTCAAAAATTTTCAGTCTAACAATAGTGATGTTTCGTCATCATGAACAAATAAGAAAATCTTCAACTACCGAGAGACAACTAATTATGGTGACAAATTCTTCAAAATAGTTGGAAAACAAGGGTTGATCTGGCCCGTTGTTCCAGAAACCAGAGCTCAGTTGGAGATCCAATTCTTGGGGAAGTGACAAAAAAAATGTGACATTTATAAAGCATAATATCATGTTGGTGGGAGTTAGCACTCTATTTATTGTGGCAATGTGGCTCCATAGAAATGAGCATGCCTACTCACAGACATTAGTGCCAGTACTTCATCAGAGGAATTTAAAAACTAAAAGCCGAATGGGAAATTGAATAAACCTCAAGATATGTTAAAACTGATTTTAATCAGATATTGACTTCAGTCACCAAACAAATGAGAACCCAAACTAATGAATATTGGGACGGAACAGGTCCAAATGAAGCGGAATGGATTACTTATGTAGTCAACCCCAACTAATTTCGGATTAAGCTATCCACCAAATGATGTATATTGTAAAATGACTTCCATTTCCCTTTGATTTTTTGGTCATTTTCAAACTTGTTCGGTGATCAAACTTCATTAAGCGTTCATGACTACTAATCTTCTTGTAGTCTTGTACAAAGCAAATTCTGTTGAAACTTGACAAGTTTGGAAGGACAAATGTCACTGCCCACCCAATGAGTTCCCAGCTTAGCTACTCAAGGGCCACTACATTACACTTCAGATGTCCCCACTAACAGATGTCCCCACTAACCACCCCTTGTGGAGAAAGGAGGGAGCTTTTTAAGTGGGCGTTTGGACATAAGAATTGTAAAATTTCGAAAAAAAGAAAAAAAAAATTTCAAGTGAAAATGGTACTTGAAAATTAGAGTTGTTTTTGGACATGAATATAATTTTGGGTTGTTTTTGAATTTTTGTGAGTGATCTGATTGAAAATTTTGAAAAACAGCTTTTTGGAGTTTTTCAAATTATCGAAAAAATCCAAAATTCATCTTCAAGTGAAAATTTGATTGTGGCCAAACATGATTTCAAAAAAAAAAGTGAAAATTTTTCGGAAAAAAGTGAAAAAACTTTCATGGCCAAACAGGCTCTAAGATGCTTGCAAGATTTTTGAAGACAAAGAGGAGGAACATAGTTACATTAAGCATGAATCTCTTAGCTCCTTTTTTTGTGTGACATGGCTAGAATCAATGGACGTAGACGCTATGATACATACTATTAGTAATCTGCACAGCTTGTAATTGGAATGTACACGCCAACCAGCACTTTCTCCATGCTGGTCTTTCTGATATAATACTACTCTCCAATTACTTATCACAAAAAAAAAAAAAAAAGGACTGCAAGAATGAGTCTTCAACTTAGGTAACAAAATATAGGTAAAATAATCGATTTTTAAAAGGCACTTTCTTCGTTAATCAATGGAGGGAATATGATTCCTTGCACAAATATGCAGGGTTTGCCGTACTAAAATAAACTGCAGTATCGAGAAAAAATGGCGCTCTATAAGGCAGTGTATTACATGGACTCTTTGTTTACCTAGAATATATGGACCGGCAATGTTATTAAAGGCGAAAAGCGCAAAAAAGCTCTAAGATCTGTTGGGGCTTTAAGCACAAAGCGCAAATAAAGCGTAGGCTTTAATGAAAATAGGCGCAAATGGAGAAAAACTACAAATATGTATGTGTAGTCTAAGACTAATATCTATAAGCATAAATATACCAAATATATGGACAAAGAAATTGAAGAAAATTTACGATAAAGTGAAGTATCAATTGTTTAGTGTCGTCTCTTCCGGATTACGCTTGTTAGCAAGGAAAAATATGCCTTAGAGCCTTGATGACAATACTGAAGCGCCCGTTAAGCGAGGCGAAGCGCTCAACATGTTTTGAGCCTCGCTTCAGGGCTTAAGCGCGCTTTAAGCGCGCCTTTGATAACACTGACGGGTAACATGGGTGTGAGCATTCCTTTTTCTTAAAATAATAGTGATATCTAGGCCAGCTTGTGGACTCACTATACCACAAGTTAGCTGCAACTCCCACCAGTACGGGTATTGGCGAGTAACTTTACCCATCCAGTCTTCCGCAAAACGAAAGAAATCACCTAAGTAGGCGTTTGGAGATGAATTGATCGATATTTGAAAAAAAGTTGTATTTGAAATTAAGTTGAAAAGGGTATTTGGGAATTGAAGTTGTTTGGACATGAAAGCACAAATTGAAGTTTTGCGGGTGAAAACTTGGAAAAAAATTCTAAAGCCTGTTTTTCAAACTTCAACTTCCATATTTCAAGTTTGAAGTGGAAACATAGGTGTGAGCATTTCCTTTTTCTTAAAATAATAGTGATATCTAGGCCAGCTTGTGGACTCACTATACCACAAGTTAGCTGCAACCTCCCACCAGTACAGGTATTGGCAAGTAACTTTCGCATCCAGTCTTCCGCAAATCAAAAGAAATCACCTTAGTAGGCGTTTGGACATGAATTGATCGATATTTGAAAAAAAAGTTGTATTTGAAATTAAGTTGAAAAGGGTATTTGGGAATTGAAGTTGTTTGGACATGAAAGCACAAATTGAAGTTCTGTGGGTGAAAGTTGAAAAAAAAATCGTAAAGCCTGTTTTTCAAACTTCAAGTTCCATATTTCAAGTTTGAAGTTGAAACAATGAGCCAGTTTAATCAACAAATAGTTATTTGAAATAATCTCCAAATATCATTTCAAATTTTTGAAACCAAAGCTATCGACAAATGTTATTTCGAGTTTGTATCTCTACTGGAATTTGAACCTGGTCACCAAGGTTTGCACCCACTTCATTGATCAATATGTCACACCCTTGTAAAACCCTGGTGACCAGGATCATGTTGTTCCTCATCTATACCTCAATCCAACACTCATCCCGAATTATGTAATATATATGAGGAACATTATGATCCTGCCAGCATCACAACTTTTGCAAAATGGTTAAAAGAAAATAGTTAACCACCCATATTATCCACTAAAAAATGGGTTGGATAATGAACTTTTTAGAAACGGGTCAAATATGGATAAGAACCATATTATCCATTTAGAAAATGGATAACCAATGGGTCTAACTTTTACATTTGTAAAGCCTCAAATTGGGGGTTCCTCGAGTTAGCGAGACTAAAAATTCTTCCAAAAGTGATCATATGCAAGAAGTCATGGATAATATGGTTACCCATATTATCCGCCGGTCAACCCGTTTTTATCCGTATTAAATATGGGTCGGATCGGATAATTTATCCGTTTTTCATTATTCGTTTTCGACCCGAATCATATCCGACCCGCCCGTTTGCCACTCCTAATCATAGGCAACCTCCTCTACACACACAATAACCGATATTCTTCGTATAAATGTGTGATACTATAATTTTTGGCATGGAACGGTCAACGGCATCCCGATGAAAGATTAGTTATTAGCTTTTTCCTTGACAGACTTTTTCCATAACTTAGCATACCTGTGAAACCTTCCTTCTCCATAACATACCATCTGGAAAACTGTGTCCCTTTGATATGTAACAGCTATGTTGCTCGGACTCTCCGAAAATGTGGCCGAATACGTGTCGGATCCTCCAAAAGTAGTGCATTTTTGAAGGATCCGACACGGGTGCGGCTACATTTTGGAGAGTCCGCGCAACATAGTGTAACAGAATAACACTCATCACATTAAGTTGAGAAAACAAAAGGAAGTAATTTATCAAAAAGATCAATCAGAAAAGGAGTGAATAAACATACATGTAACTAATCAAAAAGATCAATCAGAAACAAGATTATAGAAAACATGAAACCATCAATAACTTGGCACTCCCAAAGTAATCCCATAATTGCCAAGCAACAGTAGCATAGTGGCAGCATATCCTACCTTGTTCAAGGAATCCAGAAGAGGAGTCAGTGGTTCCTGCGATGTAACAAATTCATTGTGGTTCACCAATATACAGTATATCCATGGAAGAACATGTCTTCCCATGCTTGATCTACAAAAAAGAAAATACATGCAAAACGAAAAAAAGAATTACATATGCATAAAGATTTAGCTATCAATAACTAAAAGGTTTCTCCAACTGGTGCAATGATCCGTTCTGCCAAATAAAACAATAACTAGCCTTTTTGCGGAGTTAAAGGAGGGCAAATTCTGATATGAATTTCCAAATGTATCTCGAATTGAGGCCAATGATCAGTTCTGCGACATTATGTTTAATGATTTTGGTACAGAAAAAATTATATATTTAAGAGAGTTTCAGGAGGATGAAATTTTTCCAATATGAATTCCCAAATCCTAACCTAATCGAGAAATCCCCGGAGGGCAGGTGCTGTCGAAGGTCGGTGAATAATGGGCCCGCCCTTAACCTTCTTCACTTTACCCAGCTCCCTCTGCCCGTTTCAACTAAAACACCAGGCTTTTGTCAGCGCCAGGTTCGAACACGTGAGGTGTGCCTAATCTACACATCACGCGCTGCCCACTTATCACTAGATCAAAGCCCTGGGGCTATTTGTTGGTAGTAGTTTCAAGATCTTTCAATTTTATCTCAAAATTCAAATGACTAGTGTCCAAGAACAATCTGTGAAACTAGTTTTCACATCCAAGAACTGAACCAGGCAATTATTTTAGGGACTTAACTCAAAATAGAGTACAATTTTGTAGTGCATTTCTTTTTTCCCCTTAAGTGGGAGGATGCAGTGCATCTGTTAATACATGCAATATCCTTCAAGGATTTGAAGAGCCCACCTGGACTGCCATGCAGCCACCAAGGCATTCAATAAGTTGTAAGCATCAGGCGACTCCAAAGATAAAACAGCTGATTTCATCTGCGTTCAATGAATACAGTTCAAACAAATTATTGAAGATATGGTAACATAAAAAGTGAGCAAATCAGACCCAAGAGTATCCTCAGTATTCCAAGAGATACAGACCTTCTTCGGTGGCATACTAGCATCAACACTTATTCCTTTCAAAATCTTAGGATCAAGAATTGAGCTAGGCGAGAGATCATAGTCACTGCTAATTATACCTATGGATCTTAACTGGTCCTCCATGCAAATTGTGACCTCATCTTCACCATGTTTACCAATGACATCTGTAAATAGCAAAGCAAAAGCTTCCACGCTAAGTAGTAAACATTTAGGTAACATATAATTTATTCTCGAGACAAAAGGATAAACACAAAAAAGTTAATTGAGACAATATTCTAACAGTCCATAAAACTCGGGATGAGAACTATAGTTAGCGAAAACTTCCGAGTTCTTCTAACAAAATCTCATCTGAGGTCACATAACTTACTCTTCACCAGTACTCCCTCTGTTTCAAAAAGATTGGCACATTCCTATATTTCCTTAATGGGAAGCTTCTATAGCCACACAAATGTTATGGCTTGTTTAAGACCACAGGTGTCAAGTTTTATAGTCAAAATGTTATGGCATATTTAAGACCACAAGTTTCAAAAAAATTCCTCTCTTTATTAAACTTTGTGCCAAGTCAAACTAAGACAAACAAATTGAAATGGAAGTAGTAGTAAAGCACTGATGAAAAGTGAAGAAAGTTCCTCTCACACATTTGAGTTGACAAATTAATATTCAGTGCAAAAGCACTAGTCAGATCATGGATCACAAGTCTCAATATGACGATTAACCCGAATAAAGCAGGGATCTGAGAGCAGCAGAGAATGTCAAATGAGTGTTGTTTACTTCAACCTAAGAACAATTCTGGCATGGAGTAACCCGTAATGTTACCAAAGGCGAAAAGCGCAAAAAAGCTCTAAGGTACGTTGGGCCTTTAACCGCAAGGCACAACTAAAGCGTGGCTTTTAATGAAAAAAGGCGCAACTGGAGAAAAAGTAAAAATATGTATATGTAGTCCAAGACTAATAATTATAAGCATGAATAACAAATATATGGACAAAGAAATTGAAAAAAAATTACGATAAAACGAAATATCAATTGTTTAATGTCGCATTTTCAGGATTACACTCATTGGCAAGGAAAAGTATGTCTTAGACCCTTGATGTGACACTAAAGCGATCACAAAGCAAGGCGAAGCGCTCAACATGTTTTGAGCCTCACTTCAGGGCTTAAGCGCGCTTTAAGCGTGCCTTTGACAACACTACTTTTATCAGCAGTTCTAATCTGTAAGATTCTTCCTCTTCGCCTTTGACAACACTACTTTTATCAGCGGTTCTAAGCTATAAGATTCTTCCTCTTACGGAATGGCAATGTGCCTTGAAATCAAGATATGCAACCACAACAAGTTCGAAATACAGACACACAAAAAGTGTGCCAAAAAAACCAAGATAACACAAAAATTGGTGCAATGTTAGGTGATACCTTTGCTTACTGTGGGCTTAATTCCATGCTCGACACCAACCTGATCAAGAATCTTAGGCAAAGGAAGTAAGGCACCCTCTGCATTTGCACAATCAAGAGCAGTAACTGTTCAATGCAAAAAAAAAAAAAATGGTTAGGACAGACGTGTATCAAACATGCAAATTGATCATCGCATTTAATGATGGTACAGACCATGAAACAGGAAAAAGGGTTGTCTCAAATCATTGTGATTCTTAACCTTTAAAATTGAAAACAAAGTAGCACTTTTTCCTTCCATCCTGAAGAAACAGATGGTCGAAAAGGTAAACGTGTTGCAAATTACCATTTATCAGTGTAACTCCATAACTCTGTCTCAGGAAAATTATGCTGAAACATCCCAAACATCACCTCATACTTATGCATAGTAAACGAATGCCCTCTGTCTCAGGAAAATTATGCTGAAACATCTCAAGCATCACCTCATACTTATGCATATTAAATGAACGCCAAAATCATACACAACTTGCAGCTTAAGGATTACACAAAAGAGGAGAAAGACATTAAAAGTACATAATGGCACAGGACGACTGTCATCTCAAGCCGACAATTTTTCTTTTATGATTAATATGGCATAAGATTGTATCAGATGGGTGCTGAGAATACAAAAAGGGGCTAGAAACAAGAACGTGGTGCTGGATTGGACCTACTTTCATCCTAGACATTTTCAAATACTAAAACGTAAAGACAGGATTCACAAGGATACATTGGGCTCTTCTACCTACTGGGCCATAGATTATGAGGTCGAAATTCTCTAACAATCTGGAGAATAAGTTAAGTGAGGTAGGGACATGTAGATATTATCCACGTGGAAAGAAATGAAAATGCATTAAAATTTGGGAGGGAATAGCAAATTTGCTGATATAAAGGAAGATTCCAGAAACATTTACATCGTCATGCCAAATATGTCAATAGCAATCCATACCTATTTAACCCGGCAATTTGATTATCAAATACGGGGTTCAACAATTTTATGTTTTGACATAGAAATTAGAGAAGACAGGGGAGGCAAGTGCAAAGGAAGGAGGAGAGAGTGTTACCCTGACTCTGAGTGTTAGATGCTTGTTTAGATTTGCGAGATTGACTGAAGGGTAGAAGGATCCCGTCAAGTGAACTTTTTAATCTGATATCCGCCCCAGGCTGCACCATAACTTTTTCAAATGATGGTTTTATTAACAAGCCATATGCAACAAACATATGACCGGAACCAGATGTGCCAATAGATTGCAATTTTGCTGAAAAAATACTATGCACGGCTTCTTTATGTTTCTTCAGAATTTTATCATCTAAAGATGCGCATATTTTTGTGGGCTTCAAATTGTGCAATTCCTCAAAACTCTTTTCCATGCCAAAAGTAGCAAACACCAATTTCTGAAATGGCCAAAACACCTAAACTAGCATCATTTTCAACTCCAGATTTAATGCAGTAACTATCCAAAAAGACAGCAGGGTGATCCATTGGAAGCAAGCAGCACGCTGATTTCTTTTTGCTACCATCCAACTTCCAAACTGCTACGTGTCGGTCACCACCAGCAGAAGAAAGTACATGTCTCCCATCTTCAGAGAAAATCATACACCGAACAGCCCCCTAATATAAAAAGGAGAAAAGAAATAAGGTGACTCACAAGGATGGTAACAGAAGTATTCTGCAGTCTGTATTAACTTCACTTAATCCCGATGCAAATGCATCAAAAGGGAAGCATATAAAAAATAAAATGAAATATGCATAACACTCACAGGGTGGCCTGAAAACTTCTGGAGCTTTTTGTCATCCAAGCAATTGAAAATTTTCAACTGAGAAGTTGCTGTTGCTAATATTTTCCCATCTGGCTAGACAGAAAGCCAAAAGAGGAACCAGTATCATATCAGCATAACCAAATTAAGCATAGAATGTTGGCTGATACAAGAAAACGACTACAGGAATGCTAACACGAGATAGAGGGAGAAGGAGGACACAAATGGAGCAATGGCATGTATCCAGAACATATAGTGATCTAAATATGACACGAGAAGAATCTTGATAACTCTTAGCTCAGGGAATCTTGTATCATTGTTGCGAGTACTCCATTTTGCATTTAAAAAACGACAAGGGGTAAAAGATGCCACTCATTCAGTAACTCATCCAGATTGACTAAAACCTGGATAATTAAAATATAGCCATCATCAAAGACAATGAACATTTACAGATACAAACCTGACGAAACGGATAAAGATGATATTGCTTTAGTGGAAGCTTTAAACTTATGCAGTAAGTTCCCCGACATGGAGTCAATTTTGCAAACCAGTCCATCAGCACCAGCCGTGTAAATGAATGAACCATGTGAAGGGAATGAGATGGCATTGACACCGCTGCTCATTGACATACGAATTTCAATAAAAGCAGGGGAGATATGTCATATCATAATCTTACTATATAATAAAAATCCTATACGTAAATATAAGGCAATGCACCTTTGAACTGTGAGAATGATAAATGTAAGAAGAGCAGAGACAAGCTTCAAGATGGAGATAGTACAAGTGGCAAGTGGCGGAGCCAGAAATTTCCCTAAGGGGTGTAAAATATAAAAAGGTAAATACACAGAGAAGCTAAGGGGATTCAATATATAGCATATATACATAAAAATAATATTTTGACCTAGCTACATAGTGTAATTTTCCGGTGAAGAGGTGTCAGCTCCTTAACCTAAGGTGGCTCCGCCACTACAAGTGGCATGAGCTACGGGTCATTACTATACTTCTGAGAGTAACTTTTATTGAAAAGAGTTCCGCTTTACTTTTACAAATTTAGGATACAAAAGCACGGAGCAACTAATGACAACCAAAAACAACAAGAGTAAAACATGGCGAAAAAATATTTTCATCACAAAATAGCAGAACTAACAAAAATTCATCCAAAAACTCCTTCTTCGAAGTTGGACATATGTGCTAGACATCAAATTCTGAGCCTCTATATTTATACTTGTCAAATTGCAATCTAAAAGCTACTCTACCTTTTCTTCATAATGTGTCCTACACCTCGAATTGAATGTCCAACACATAGTACGCAGAAGAACACATAAAAGAAAGCTATTTACCATTCTTTCTACAAGTCAAGATAATATTAGTTATGAGTTACGCAAAGAACTCACCCAGGATGGCAATCAGTAAATCTCCATTTGAGATGACCTGCAGATACATCTAGAGCCAAAACATCACCACTGCCTGTACCTAAAACCAATAATGAAGTTCCAAGCTTCCTTTTTTTCTGAGCAACAAGTAAAATAGCTCTCAATAAAGGAGTTGAAGTTAGATTAGAACTAAATATTCACTCTGTTTCAATTTATGTGACAGGCTTTCTTCATTAATCAGTGACATATTTCTAATTTATTAATAATTTAACTTTAAACTTTTCATTTTATCCTAAATGAGAAGCTATGCCTTTACCATTAAGCTTTTAAGACCACAAGTTTTACAAGTATTTTTTTTTTCTTCAACTCCGTGCCGAGTCAAACTAAATTGGAACGGAGGGAGTAATACATTTTCTTTTCTCAGACAGGGAATTTCACCTTTCTGTCACATGATAACCACTTCATGCAAGTATAATCCATAGAAAGATGACCTCCTGGCTTAGTAAACAAGCTTGCTGTTGTCTCAGTTGACACAATATCTGCAAACTCCGTTTGTACCTGACCCTTCAGTGTATCCCATATCTGAAAGTAAATGGTAATACAGTGAAATAAAATTCCAATAAAATGTAAAAATTTCTTTAACATGATTAGAGGAGTATACCTTGATACGGCCATCACCAAAACTGATAGCAAAGAAGTCCAAAGAGGGACTCAAACAAGTCAAAATGTCCCTTATATTTGTTGTGCCCATTGCTGAAAGGGATGATCTGAAACGAAAGTAAAAACTCCAGCTGCTGCACGGGCGGTGACCAAGGGCGGCTCTAGGGTGAGGCAAGGGTAAGGCAAGTGAAGCTTTTGCCAAGTCGAGCGCTGATGAGAGGAATATATGTAATTTATATTTATATAATTATGATAAAATATTTTAAATAGCGAAAAATATGAAGAAAGATTATACATAAACAAGAAAAAAATTGATAAGCAAGTAATTATATTATTTAATAATAAGAGAAAAAATTTATCCTATTGTATTAAGAGCCCGTTTGGCTTAGTTGATCTAAAGTAGTTGATACGTATTAATGATTTAAAACACTTTTAAGTGTTAAAACTAATTTAATGAATAAGTAATAATGTGTTTGGACAAAAGTGTTCAAACTAATAATAAGTATGTGAAATGTTTGGGGAAAAAGTGATAATAAGTATTTTTTCTGTTAAAATAACTTAAATGCCCTTAAAATTATTTACCGTAATAAAAACGTAATTTTTACAAGATTGTAAATTAAAAGTTGATTCAAATAGAATAATTTATGTCTCATTAAACTTTTAACACAAAATTATTTTTTATAAATAAAAATTATTTTAAGATAAGTTAAACAACAAACATAATCTTTAATATAATAATTAATATTTTGACTAAAGTTTAGTTTGTGAGTAAATCATACTTTTTAACACAAAATTAATTTTTATAAATAAAATTTATTTTAAGATAAGTTAAACAACAAACATAATCTTTAATATAATAATTAATATTTTGACCAAAGTTTGTGAGTAAATCATACTTAAAATAAGTACATAAAATTTTGTATAAAACATATACGCAATTAATGAAATCTTGTTTGTTGTTAATTAAATTAAAACATTCAAATATCATAAATATTTGCAACAATATAATCACGAGTTGCAATCAAAAGTTTGGTATGTAATAAACAATGCAAACAATTTGTTTAAGTTAAAGAAGATGAAAGAAGAGTGATTTATAAACGAGCAACTTTCTCACTTGCTGTTGACATAGAAAAGCTTCAAACTTGAATATAGTTTCTTGATGATGGCAGTAGGGTTACTGAATTTGGAGAAAAGACGTGAAAAAGGTGAAGGAATGACGTTAAGAAGAGAGTCGGAATTAATATTGTACTTTATAAAGTATATTTCACAAATTATGATAACATTAGGGATAGAATAGTAAAATACTTGGGCAATCCTGCCAGTCGAGGAGGCTACTTGGGAGGAGATGCAGAGCAGTTATCCACGCCTATTTGAGACTCTAGATATGACTATAGCCTCGTTCGAGAATGAATGTTTATTTAAGAGGGAGAGAATGTAATGATCTGACCCGTCGTTTTATGTATTGTATCCCTCTTCCCCTGTTTTATCGCTTCTTTTATGTTCATTTGTAGTAATGTGATTTACCGGGGTGGTTGTTTTAGTTTCGTGGAAGTTTTGGAGTCAATTGGGGCACTTAGTCCCAAGGTTGGAAGCTTAAGTTGAAAGAGTTGATAGAAGTTTAGCTTTTGTGTAAACGACCCCGAAATAGATCTTGATGGTTTAAACACCTTTGGAAGGTAATTTTGGACTTAGGAGTATGTTCAGATATTGATTTGGAGGTGTGTAGGTTGGTTTGAGGCTCTTTAGCGAAAATGAGAAAAGTTGAGGGTTTTGGAAGGTTGAGAGGTTTGACCGAGAGCTGACTTTGTTGATACCGAGTTCATATTTTGGTTCCTGGAGTTGGAATAGGTCCGTTGTGTCATTTAGGAATAGTGTGCAAAATTTGAGGTCATTCGAAGTTGATTTGATATAGTTCGACATTGGTTTTAGAAGTTGGAAGTTCAGTAGTTTCATTGGGCTTGAATTGGGGTTTGGTTCATAATTCTGATGTTGTTTGATGCAATTTGAGGCTTCGACTAAGTGCATATCGTGTTTTAAAATGCATTGGTATCTTTTGATGGGGTCTCGAATGCCTCGGGTGTAATTTAGAGTGAAATCGGATTGAGATTTGGACTTAAGGAAATGATGAAGCTTCAGGTATGGTGTAACCGCACCTGCGTGGTTTGGTCCCAGGTGCGGAGCCATAGACGCGGCCTATTGTGCGCAGGTACAAAATTTGGGAAGGAAGTCTGGGAGCGTAGATGCGAAGGTGATTCCGCAGAAGCGGACGCACTTCTGTGCAACCAGGTTCGCAGAAGCGGAGTTGAGCTGGCAAGGTAGTGGTCGCAGATACGTACGGGGTGCTGCCTTTGCGGAAGCGCAAGTGCGAAGTTTGTCCGCAGAAACGGACTCCCAGATGCAAAGATTTTATCCGCAGGTACGGAAAAGCGAAGGCTTCAGGAGGGCCGCAGATGCGCAATTGGGCCGCACTCGCGGAACCGCATATGCGCAATTGGGATGCAGCTGCGAAACCGCATATGCGGTTAAGTGAGCCGCAGGTGTGGAATGACTAGCAAAACTTATATCGAAGGGTTTCATATTTTTCTCTAATTAACTCGGGTAGGGGCAATTTTTTAGAGGGTTTTGACTACAATTGAAGAGGTAAGTGAAGATTCATCATTTTTATTGATAAATATTGATACCCATTGATTATTACACCTAGTTTATAGGTGTTTAAGGTGAAAATTGGAGATTTAGACTATGTTGTTGGAGAGTAAGATTTGATGGTTTACGGGTCAATTTGTGATTGGAATTGGATAATTTTAGTACGGTTGAACGCGCAATTGAATGGGTATTCAGAATTTATGAATTTTCTCCGATTTTGGGGGTGCGAGCCCGGGGTTGACTTTCCGATTTTAGTTAAAGACCTTAGCTTTATCATATGGAATCGATTCCTATAGCTTGTATTGATTAAATTAAGTTGTTTTGGCTAGTTTCGGATCGTTCGGAGGCCGATCCGCCAGGCAAAGGCTTGTTGTAGTATTGATTTGCGCATTTTGAGGTAAGTAAAATTTCTAAACTTGGAATTGAGGTATTTATCCCCTAAAAAATATGTTATTTGTGTTGTGTTAGAGTGACGCGCATGTTAGGTGACGACCGTGTGGCCGTGCACCATATAAATCACGATCCGGGTTGATTTTTGTACTGTGCTGCTATCAACTCTTGTTTTATTCGTGAAATTCCTACTTATTAGAGTAATTGAGTTGTAACTCACGTTAGAAATCATGTTTATGCTATGTGTTAATTCGGTTGAGACCTAACGAGGCTATTTTTGTTGTTTTGAGTTATCTGCTTTGACTGTAATTATATACTCAGTCATGATTCGTCACTTGCATATTATATCTCAGTCTCTGTTCATCGTGCATTATTGCATCACATGTTATCGTTTATTGGGATGAGTGGTATGAGATTGTGAGCCCTTGAGACTTGAGAGGTTGATGGTTAAGGTGGGCCTTAGAGGCGTGTTGAAAATGTTACTGTAGATCGGGCTGCATGCCGCAGCAGGCCATATTGACTTTACTATTATTATTATTATTATTATTATTATTATTATTATTATTATTATTATTATTATTATTATTATTATTATTATTATTGTTGTTGTTGTTGTTGTTGTTGTTGTTGTTGTTGTTATTATTACGGAAAAGGGCCTAAACTACCCTTATCGTTTGCTAAATGGTTTAAAAATACCCTCCGTCCATCTATCCGTCCAAAAAAAGCACATGACGTTAATTCTATTATTAAAATTACCCCCACGTTTAATGGAAGAACTTGTGGGTCTTCAATTTAATGACATGGCAATTTTTTGCTGGACCACGTGGCAGTTCGGGCCAAAATAACTTATTTCGACCCACTTACCTGATCCGACCCTAAGTTTGTTACATGGGTTATAAAACTACATTAACCCTACCGATTTTCAGTATTCTTCTCCCAGTTAGGATCTTGGTCATCTGAAAAGCTCATATGAGCTTCTGCCCAAAATTTCCTTTTCCTTCAAAGCTTGATTTTGGGTGTAAACATTGTGCCTTTATTAAATTACTTTAGAGCTGAATTAAATCACTCACCGGAAAATTCAAAACTCTAGCCGGAAAAACAAATAATTTCGTTAAAGTTATCGGAGAAATTAAAATGGCACCATCGACGAATAGTTTAATTCTATCACTGAAGGTTGTGCTAATATAAATTGGGGCAGTTTCCTTAGCAGTGATATTAAAAGCGTCAATTCCACGGGTTTTTAACGAATTACCAACCATTTGGAGTGCCGTTATAGCTTGGCTTAAACCTCTGTATCTCTTTATTTTTATCAATGGTATAATCATCGTCATCGGTGCCACTTCTTGTTCCTCGAACCATAAGGAGCCCAACTCATCGAGCGATTGATTTCAACTATTGATTACTGCTAGAACACCTCCACAGTCAGATTTGATAGCGATTACACAGTCGGAGCTTCACCCAGTCAAAAGTGAAGTAAAGGAAGTGTTTGAGGCAGCCGCACCTGTGCAGGTGAACAAACTTTTTTACCCAGGTGTTTGAGGTTAAGCTTGTGGTGGTGAATGGCTCTAGAGCTGTAAATGTGAATCAAGTAGATGAAGATGCGAAAGATGAGCCTGTTGACAGTGATGCGATTATGATTTCAAAATTTGTTGTGGCTCCGTTGTAGGAAGTTGAAACTGAAATTTACCAATGTAAATTTGGTCTATTTATGTTCTGTAAGTTTTCCAATGATAGGGTTTATGATTGGAGAAGAAGAAAGGGGGAGGTCAGATTAGTGGGAATGGGTGTGATAAATTCCACCCATATTTGTAAATGGGTCGGATAAGGTAAATGGGTTGAAATAATATTCATTTTTTATTTCAGTCAAAGATCGCCGCGTGGCCCAGTTAAAAATCGCCACGTGGCCCAGTTAAAAATTGCCACGTGGCCCAGTTAAAAATCGCCACGTGGCCCAGTTAAAAACCGCCACGTCATTAAATGAAAGACCCACCAATTCCGCCATTAGTCGGGGGTGTTTAACCAAAAAAATAGATTTTTAGTCAAAGCTAGAAATTAGAAGAATCGGGTTACTGATAATCGGAAAAGTAAATAAAGAAAGAAATTTTAGAATAGCCAAGTATGAAAGCTGGTAAATCAGAGTATATTTCAATAGTTACCCCCCTCCAGTGATTACATATTTCTCCTTTTATAGGTCCCTTTGGGAATCTTTGGAGATGCACGTTATGCCTAAGCCATAATGAGGCTATTACGAGTAATTAATAACATTAAATGGTACGTTACATAATCATTACATTGAATGTATATATTCCTTAACGGCCCCAGCATTTAATACCCTTTAAATGCCGTATTTGCATCTTTTTCTTTAACCAGGTTCATTCGTCTCATTGTTCGTATGTAAATAAGTTTAAACAGGAACGGGGCGATGAACCTTTCGTCCCGTGCCTCTTTTTACCCGTACCTGTTTGTAACTCTTGAACCGTGGCAAATCACAACTCATTATCCATTCCACGTGTCGGGACACGTCATCATGTATATATGAATACAAATTTTTCCCAATACAGATAGTCCCCCCACTTTCCATTTATTCATCAGTTCGAATATTTGGGAAGTGGAATTCATTAAAGGAGAATTTTTGTCAACATTAATGCTCTGACAGAGTTGACGCTTCAATTGTCACTTCCTTTTAATGCACTAGACACGTGTCATTCTCTTATTGGTCGTACTATTTTGCAGCACTTTTTTAGGCTTTCTTTTCGGCTTCACTTTTCACGAAGTATCAGTTATCATTATTATGGTTCTCCCATCATCATACTTTTTCTCTTTGCCAGATATCCATTAGTATAAATATAACTTCTCTTCTTGTCTTGTTTCNGCCACTACAATGGGCATGAGCTAGGGTCGATTACTTATACTTCTGAGAGTAACGTTTATTTGTAAAGAAGGTTCCGCTTTACTTTTACAAATTTAGGATACAAAAGCACGGAGCAACTAATGACAACCAAAAACAACAAGAGTAAAACATGGCGAAAAAATATTTTCATCACAAAATAGCAGAACTAACAAAAATTCATCCAAAAACTCCTTCTTCGAAGTTGGACATATGTGCTAGACATCAAATTCTGAGCCTCTATATTTATACTTGTCAAATTGCAATCTAAAAGCTACTCTACCTTTTCTTCATAATGTGTCCTACACCTCGAATTGAATGTCCAACACATAGTACGCAGAAGAACACATAAAAGAAAGCTATTTACCATTCTTTCTACAAGTCAAGATAATATTAGTTATGAGTTACGCAAAGAACTCACCCAGGATGGCAATCAGTAAATCTCCATTTGAGATGACCTGCAGATACATCTAGAGCCAAAACATCACCACTGCCTGTACCTAAAACCAATAATGAAGTTCCAAGCTTCCTTTTTTTCTGAGCAACAAGTAAAATAGCTCTCAATAAAGGAGTTGAAGTTAGATTAGAACTAAATATTCACTCTGTTTCAATTTATGTGACAGGCTTTCTTCATTAATCAGTGACATATTTCTAATTTATTAATAATTTAACTTTAAACTTTTCATTTTATCCTAAATGAGAAGCTATGCCTTTACCATTAAGCTTTTAAGACCACAAGTTTTACAAGTATTTTTTTTTTCTTCAACTCCGTGCCGAGTCAAACTAAATTGGAACGGAGGGAGTAATACATTTTCTTTTCTCAGACAGGGAATTTCACCTTTCTGTCACATGATAACCACTTCATGCAAGTATAATCCATAGAAAGATGACCTCCTGGCTTAGTAAACAAGCTTGCTGTTGTCTCAGTTGACACAATATCTGCAAACTCCGTTTGTACCTGACCCTTCAGTGTATCCCATATCTGAAAGTAAATGGTAATACAGTGAAATAAAATTCCAATAAAATGTAAAAATTTCTTTAACATGATTAGAGGAGTATACCTTGATACGGCCATCACCAAAACTGATAGCAAAGAAGTCCAAAGAGGGACTCAAACAAGTCAAAATGTCCCTTATATTTGTTGTGCCCATTGCTGAAAGGGATGATCTGAAACGAAAGTAAAAACTCCAGCTGCTGCACGGGCGGTGACCAAGGGCGGCTCTAGGGTGAGGCAAGGGTAAGGCAAGTGAAGCTTTTGCCAAGTCGAGCGCTGATGAGAGGAATATATGTAATTTATATTTATATAATTATGATAAAATATTTTAAATAGCGAAAAATATGAAGAAAGATTATACATAAACAAGAAAAAAATTGATAAGCAAGTAATTATATTATTTAATAATAAGAGAAAAAATTTATCCTATTGTATTAAGAGCCCGTTTGGCTTAGTTGATCTAAAGTAGTTGATACGTATTAATGATTTAAAACACTTTTAAGTGNTTTTCGATGTATGCTTGGGTCAAATTGGTCCGATTGTGTGGAGAGCTGTCGCCTGTTTGAGGCACCTTGCTAACATGGCAGATGTTGAATTCACTTTACCCCATCTAATTCATCTTTACTCCCCTAGGCTCTTTCGAAACGGCGTGTTTGGTTTAGCAGCCAGGAGTAAGAGGGTCTTAGTGAGTCCCGAGGATGATAAAGACCGTGGCTGGTATGCCTGGTTTGTTGCTGCTCCCACTGCTGGTTTAGTGGGTGAAAAGAACGTTCGCTTCCCTGAGAAGTGGAATTTTGCACGTAAGTGTTAAATTTTTCTCATGCCTTTTTATTCCCAAGGCTTATTTTTCTTAATCTTGCTTCTTTTTCTTTTCAGCAACCATGGGTGTTGTGGAATCTGTGCCCAACTTCCGTGGTTGGGTAGAAAAGTTACTGAAGATTGCCCCAATGGAGGGTAGATCATGGAAAACTCTTTCCAACCGTTATGGTTGGAAAGTAAAAACTCATGGTAAGGATTTCTATTTTTACCTTATCTATTTAAGTATTTTTTGTTGTTCTAACTTCCAACCTTCTTTCTATCAGGTTTTGCCATTCGAGGAATTACTCCAGAGGCCATCTTGGCATCCCGTGACTCCTTAAGTGCTCGCACCTCTTCAGATCAAGATATATTCTTGGGATCTTCAGTTCAAGATATATTCTTGGAATCTGTAAAGAGAAAATCCGCTGAAGAAGATGATTCTGAAGAAGAAGACGAGGGTTCTCTGGTGTCAAGACCAAGAGTCAGGAGACGTATCGTCTCTGAAAATGAGGCTGATGTCTCCCCTCACTTATCTCTTTCCGAACCTGTTATTACTCCAGTAATCATCCCTGATGATGATATTTCTCCTCCTCCTGACACTCATGAATCTATAAATCAGCTCTTTATCAGTGGTTTCGATAGTGGATCTTTAGGACCAGTTCTAAATGAACTTCCTTTATCTTCTTTTACCTCTTCCGTTCCTGTGATTGCTTCTTTACCTTCATCAACTACTATTTATGTACCTTCCTCCATTATTTTTACCCCTTCCACTGCTCCTCCTTCAGTAACTCATCCCCCCATTGTCCACCGTACAGAAGTGGGCTCTTCGAGTAGGGGTTCTGCTATGAGGAGCGTGATCATCGAGGTTCCTGCCAACAACAGTCTTTTAAGAAAGTCCGGGCAAGCTGATACTTGGCTCGAACCTCTGATTGGCCCTATTGAGAAGGCTAAACTTGAAAGCCATAGTAATATAACCCTCATGAATGATATAGTTCATGCAACTTTGACGGTATTTCTGTTCTTTTACTTTGACGGTATTTCTGACTTTTGACTTCGGGAGTCCTAACCTTGCCTCCTTTTTTTCTGTTTGTGTAGGCCAATCGTATCGGTACTGAACTAATGACCCGAATCCCTCTTTTGGAAAAACTGGCTCGTGACTTGGAAAAGACTGCTCATGATGCAGACGAAGCTGCCCGTGGTTCTCAATTGGAGGCAAACAACTGGAAGGGCCAGTTTGAAAGTGTACAAATCGATATGGAGATCTTGGAAGAGAGGAAAAATACCTTGGAGAAAGAAGTTCAAACACTAACCTCCGAGCTGGCAGTGATTAAAGCTATTTCAAGCCAAACCAAGAAGGAAAAAAGACGCCTTGAATCTTCCTTTTCAGAACAGCTGTCCAAGGTCAACGAGGAAAATAGGGCTCTAAAGACTTTGCTAGCTCAGAAAGAAATGCATGCAGGGGAATTAGCACAAAACCTTTCACGGGTACAAGAAAAATTGCGAGTTTCTGTAGATAAGGTTCATGCTTTAGAGAGTTCTCATACCACCCTTCAGTCATCTTATAGTTCTGTCTTAACTAAAAACGAAGAACTTAAGAATGAAGTTGCTGCTTGGGAGAGTGATTATGAACTTCTTGAAGAGTCAACCAATGTTGAGGTAAGATGGACCTATTTAAAGTCTCGTCGTGACCCCTTGGTAGAAATGGGCCAAGAAAATTTCAACCTGGAATCTGAATTAGCCAAGGTGAACGAGGCTATTGAACGAGCACAACAACCACAAGATTTTTCATCTCCCGAGGCTGGAACTTCTGTGACTGAAACTCTTTTGGCTGAGACTCCCGCAGTTGAAGTCCCCGTGACTGTTGAAATTGCCACGAGTGTCACACCTTCCTCAATTTCATCCATGCCTCTTACTGCTAGTCAAGTTGAAACTTCATCTATTGATACTCCAATGGTTGAAAATCAAACTGCTTCTGTTGGCGATGCTGTTCCAGTTGAGCCCGCTGATGATCTCTCTTCAGTCCTTTCCTCTTAGAGACAAATAAATTTACATATGTTTTTAAATTCCCTTTGCAGGTATCTATTTGGAAAAGTGTGTTTAAAGCTCTTGGACTCATTTGAAAGTTTTTGTAATCAAACCCTTGGCTATCACTTAAGGGTTGATTTTTAGAAGTACAAGTCCCCAAGTCTTGTTATGGGGCATTTTGTATAAACAAGTCGATGACTAAGTTTATACTTTAGTCTTTAGTTTTTAAATATTATGAAACTTTTATTTCCGTCTGTTCTATCCTTGCCTTTTTGATTTTCAAGGTCTTAGAATGATAGTCTGCATTTTTGTTCTTTGAAAAATGCTTCTGTTAACCCCATGACTAAATAACATGAGTTTTATAAAAGAGGGCCCTTTTATATTTTGACACTTAATGAAGAAGACATCTCAACTTCATAATGGTGTTATCATACGATAAAAGAAATAGGAACACACATGTTTTTTGCAATAACTTTGACAAGTTTTGAGTAATACTTTACATGTATTTGAATTACATCTATAACTTTCTCGCAACTGTTTTCCTTGTAACAGATTTATACAAAAGAAGAACAATAGATACGGGATTTTTACTTATAACCCGTTTTAGTACATAGTCCTTTTAGCTCCAGAACATTAAGAAGAGTTTGAGAGATGACTCCATTGTTCTTATGGGAAAGAATACTATGATGACTCCATTGTTCTTATGGGAAAAAAAATACTATGATGAGTGCCATTGTTCTCATGGAAAAGAATACTATGATGAATGTCATGACTTCGTAACTTTCACTCCGTACTTGATTCTTCTAGGCTTGATTTTCTAAATCTTCTTTGCCTTTTTGATACACGTGACTATACTATGTAGTCCCCCAAGTGTTTGAGCGTTGAAGTATGAAGCCTCGAGCACTTAGTAGTTTCCTTCACCTGGTCTTTTTCCTGAAAAGGAAATACATAAGGGACTCGGGGGTGCGATTATAGATGAAGACTGCTTAACCCTATTTACTTCTCAGAATAATTGTAACCCTGGGCTAGGAATTTTAGTTTATTCCATTTTGCCTTACAGGTCGTGACTCATCATTTAGTACGGGTTAGCGTTTTGCCTATCATCTAAAATCGTTAGTAAAATTTTAATAATTCAAAAAATATAATTTAACATGGTGATACCTGACCGTGGATTTTTCCTTAGAAGTAGTATCTCTTCAAATGAACTGCATTCCAATGTGAAGGAAGCACCTTCCCATTCATTTTTTCCAACTCGTATGCTCCTTTTCCTGCAATATTTCGAACTCTGTAGGGTCCTTCCCAGGTTGGACTTAGTTTACCCGCATTGGCTGCCTTTGTAGATTGAAAAATCTTTTTAAGCACGAAGTCCCCAATTTTGAAGTACCTTAGCCGTGCTTTCCTGTTGTAATATCGTTCGATCACTTATTTTTGTGCCGCCATTCTTATTAATGCAGCTTCTCTCTTGCCTTCCAGTAAATCCAAATTGACCCGCATCTCTTCATCATTAGCCTCTTGTGTTGCTTGTGAGAATCTTGTACTTGGTTCTCCTATTTCAACTGGGATTAATGTTTCAGCTCCATAAACTAAAGAGAAAGGAGTTTCACCTATGCTCGTCTATGTTGTCGTGCGATATGCCCATAACACTCCGGGTAACACTTCAGGCCAATTACCCTTTGACTCCTCTAAACGTTTCTTCAAATTGTTGATTATGACTTTGTTCGTTGATTCTGCTTGCCCGTTGCCTACTGGGTGATAAGGTGTAGATGTGATCCTCTTAATTTGCCAGCTCTCAAAAAACTCTGTGACTTGAGCTCCGATAAATTGAGGGCCATTGTCGCATACAATCTCCTTTGGTACACCAAATCGGCAGATGATATTACGCCAAATGAAGTCTTTGACCTCCTTTTCTCGTACCTGTTTAAATGCTCATGCCTCTACCCATTTAGTGAAATAATCAGTAAGTACGAGCAAAAATTTTACCTGTCCTTTTGCTTGTGGTAATGGACCCACGATATCCATTCCCCACTTCATGAATGGCCATGGTGCTATGACCGGATGTAACAATTCCGCAGGTCTATGCATGTTGTTACCGTACCTTTGACATTTATCACATTTAGCTACGAAACTTTCCGCTTCTTTTTCCATTTTAGGCCAGTAGTATCCTGCTCTAATCAAGGTTCTCACCAGTGATCTTCCTCCTGCGTGATTCCCGCAATGCCCCTCATATATTTCCCTCATTACATACTCCGTTTGAGAAGGTCCGAAGCATCTTGCTAATGGACCATCGAACATCTTACGATAAAGATTCCCTTGTTTTAAACAGTAACGAGCAGCCTTTTTTCGAAGTGCATGCGCTTGCTTTTTGTCATCAGGGATGGTACCACACTGTAAAAAAGCAACAATTTCGTTTCTCCAATCCCAAGTTAAATTATTAAATTTTACCTCATTC